TGACTTGCTGGGCTCCAGCGATCCTTCTGCCTCAGCCTTCCAAGTAGCTGGAACTACAGGCACGTGCTACCACCCCCGGCTAATTTTTGATTTATTGTAGAGATGAGGTCTCACCCGCAGGCTCAGGCAATCTACTCGCCTCGGCCTCCCAATGTGGTGGGATTACAGACTGAACCACCGAGCCCGGCCTAAACCTCTATTTCTATGAGAAAACTGATGTCTGAGAGAAATGACCTGTCCAAGGTTACTCAGACTAGACTCTTGGCTCTTGCCTTCCAGAAAGCTCCAAAGCCTTCTTCTGAGCCAGGTGGTTTGAGGCTGGCTACCTTCCCTTCCCCACACCCCATGTATCTCTGCCCAGGCTGCTTCTCCTTCTGGGTTCTAAGACCATTCCCCTGCCCTGGCTCCTGCCCTCTGCCCTGTGTCCTACCCTAGCTGGCTCTGTCCCCTTCTTGGGGGCTGAGGGAAGCCTTACCTTTCACGCTGACCAGTCCCTCCCAACACTTTGCAAGCGATGTCCACGGCTTTGGAGGCTCAGCTAGTGCCTGGACTGTGGGAGTGGCCAGTCTCCGTCTTCCTTTGCCCCAACTGTGGGGCCACCAGTGTCGCTGGGTCCTTAAATGTCTGGCCCCCTGGGGGCGATTCCTTACTTAGGCTCTGCAGCTGTCTCAGCTAGGTGGCACACTGCTTTGTGTGTGGGGGGAAGGGTAGGAGGGTATAGGTGGAGGGGAAGGGAAGCAAGGTTGGATTCAGGCAGGAGGAAATGTTGGAGACCAGGCGGGAAGGAGCCCCAGGGTGGTGATCCAGGGGTACTTTCCCGTTCCCTTGTGGTAGAGGTTTTGGTTCTCCCTGCTGCTGGGTGGGGGCTCTCTGAGCTGAGGGGCTCAGAGTAGTTGTGTGTGTTTGTGTGTATGTGTGTGCGCGCACATGTGCACACTCAGGTTCATGTGCATTGCACAGAGCAACATGGCTCAGGGAGCAAAGCAACAGGTCTGTTTTCCAGGGAGAGGATGAATTGGTGGTGGTGGTGGGGTCTATGGAATCTGCCATTTTGCACAAGCCCAAGGGTGCCATTCAGGTTGCTCTATGTGTGGTCCACTCACAGCCTGAGTGGCTTCACACGGTCACCCTGGGGGGGGATAGGGACACGTTAGCTCTCTTCCCCCTTCTCACTCCAACAACCCAATCTCCCTTATCTGGGTAGAAGGGTAAGAGGGTTCATTCTCCCAGGGAAATCTTTGTTTGAGGGTGGCTGGAGAGCATACTCCCCACTTCTCTACTTTCCTCATCGTCTGCAGCATACCCTGCATGTCTGAACCATTGACCAACCCATCCCAGGCTCTTGGTAAGGACCTATTAGCTGGTCAGCAGCTCTGCCTGATCCCCTCCTGCCCTGGGGTGACCCCCCCCAGCTGCCAGCAGTGTCATCACAGCTACTTTTGCTCCATCCCAGGGGGACAGGGGACAAGAATAGAGCGGGGGTGTCCAGGGTAGCTCAGGATCTGAGCCCATGGACAGATTCCCTGGGCCCATTGGGAGAGACTCTTCTCAACCCTGGCCTTACAAGGGAAATATCTGAGCTGCAGCTGCTACTGGACCTGTGGGGCTAACATGGGATATGTGTTTGACTGATAGGGAGGGGCCTGGGCGTGACCTGAATGTGTCTTTGCTCCAGCCTTGACCTCTCTGCCCCATCTCTTGGAGCTGTTGGCCTGCCAGCCACTTTGCGACCCCCCAAGCCTCATGCCTCTAATCCCAGCACTTTGGGAGGCTGCAGCAGGAGGATTGCTTGAGCCTAGGAGCTCAAGACCAGCCTGATTAACATCAAGACCTGGTCCTCAAAGCTCCCCGTGGCTCAGAGCATCTGGCTGGTCTGGGGCCGAGGGGGTGTGGGAATTCTGCAGAATGGACTTATTTTGGCTTTTCAAATCTGGACTCATTCCATACTCCCAACCTCCACAAGGGGCACCAGTGAGTGTTTGGGCAGAGCTCTCCCTAGGGCTAGTAAGGAGGGTTAGGGCTACCGGGGGAGGGGAGGGGAGGTGAGGCAAATCACACAGACCCAGGAGGTTAGTTTTGCTCAAAATGCTCCGTTTATTGCTCTATTCAATGGCCACGAGCGGAATATAAAAAGACACCAAATGTTTCTGTCTGCCGTGGAATAAATATGTAAAGTCAGCAATAAAAACACGTGGCTTCAAGATAACACACGTTGCCAGAGTCATGCATGCTCAGCTGATGGGCTCTCAACACACGCATGGACATGGGAACGCACGCAGAGCGATGCGCAGCGAGACTTCTGGGAAGGCTTTCCCACAGTGACACAGAAAAACATCCTACATAGAGCTGGGGCTGAATCCTCACCCCACCCTGGGGCACCCCTCCCCCACCCCCACCCAGATGCTCTGGGCTCCCCACCCCTATCGGTCTCCTTCCTCCCCGTGCCTCACAGGCTGGTCATTGCCTCCTGAGGACAACTGACACCCAGAGGCCATCCTGGCTGTGATGCCCGCTCCAACCCAGAGACCTCTCCCCCCACAGCTGAGATCTCTCTGCCAACCACTCAGGGGCTCCCCTTGCCTGACCTCCAGGTCATCCACCGGTTGGGAGAAGTAGGGGTGGGGGCCCCAGGCAGACACCTCCGCCTGGGCTGCTTAGGGGGTGGAGCCCATGACCCCTTCCTGGCCGAGGAGACACAGTGTCCGGTACAGACGGCAGAGACGGATGGACAGACAGAACACGCTGCGGCAGGACACTTGGAGTGCGGCATGGAAACATTTTGGATCAAGTAGCGATGGAACCATCATTAAAAACTGAGGCCCCAAGTCTGCGTGGTGTGGGTCAGGTCCTGGGGCCCCAGGCCTGGCCTGGCACGTCCCTCCCCTGCCCTCCCCCGATTCCCCAATATATACAGTAGGAAGAGCTATGCTGGGGGGTGGGGGCCAAGCCAAGACTAACAGAGGATGAAGGGAGCAGACTGAAGAGGAGGAAGCGGGAGAGGGTGGGGGCAGGGGGCCGGCCCAGGACCCGAGGTAGGGCCCCCGGGCGATCAGGGTGAGGACGCAGACTTAGAGAACCTTGGAGGAGCAGCGTGGTCACTCTGGGGGCTGGTGGGACAGCTGCTTTTCATAGAGGCTCATGACGTGGTGTACAAACTGGTACTGCTCACAGGTCTGGATCATGCCGCCCCTGCCCGGCAGAGATGCACGGTGGGGGTGGGTGAACAGGGGGGTGGTCTGCAGGAGGGCGCCCCGCACCCAGGAGGATGGATCATTTGTGAGGCATGCCAGGGGTCTTGTGTAGCTTGGAGAGCCCAACCCTTGCCAACCCTTGCCTTCTGCCCCCTCCTGTCAGGGACGCAGATGACATGTCCCGCCACTTTCAGGCCCCTGTCTTTCCACCAGCAGTTTCTCATCCCTCTTCACCCAGCTGCCTATTGTCTGGATCCTGCCCCTCTGCCCGGCTGTCCGCCCTACTCCTTGTCCGCCTGCCAGTCTATACCTCGTTCATTCATCTGCCTCTCGCCCCCACGCACAGAGTGTCTCTCCCAGCTGCTCCCTGGGCTCTGGCTTCCCCATGTACCCCCATCCCCACCCGCGGACTGACCTGTCTTGGCGGAGCTGGCATGTGGTCTTCAGGATGTCCACCACGCCCTCATTCCGCAGCTGCTGGCAGCAGATGCTGGTGGCGATGAAGCAGCCGGTCCTCCCAATCCCTGCACTGAGGGCCAAGGGGACGGGGGACAGGGGGTGAGGGGCAGAGCACACCCTGTGGGCGAGGGCTGCCCTGCTCCGGGGGCTGGCTGGGAAGACACACCTGCAGTGGACAATGATGGGGGCACAGTGGGGTCCCTCCTGCTGGGCTGCCTCCTCCACCTCCTGCACCAGGTGCAGGAGCGGAGGGGCACGGTCCGGGGTCTTCTGGTCAGGCCAGGACGTGAACCAGTAATGCTTCAGGCCTCGCTCTTCAGTCCCACTCTGTTAGGAGACACAGGTCCGTCCCAGACACACGTGAGCTCTTCCTGCCCACAAACCAGCCTGGAGATGGAGATGGGTCGGAGGAGGAAGAACACCCAGAGTGCGTCTCCGTAGCCCCACCCACATACGTCATATGGCCCAGCGGCTCCAGAGACCCAACACCACCTTGGTAGTGGGGTGGGGTCAGCTGTGTCAGGCATCACTCTTGTCCTTGGTTCTGCCCCACAACTCCAGAATCACCCAAGAGGGGCCAAGAGTCCCATCTCCACCTTATTGCCACCTCTCGGGTTCCTTATCTTAAAGGGTAGTATAGTCCCTTAGCCACATAACCCAGAGCCCCAGGGATCCCCCTCTCACGTTGCTGTGCTTGCCTGGAGTGTCACACCTCTGCCCTCTTTGGGGGTGGCCAGTCCTACTGCCTCTTCAGGCCCCTCCACTGCCACTTTGACCTTTATCATTGCTTGAGTGTGTGCGATCTCCCCTTCATCCCTTCTGTCCCAGACCCAGTGTCAAACTGGTCGACCTACGACATAAATCTGGACATGCTGCTCTCCTGCTCAAAACCCTTTGCTATGGACTGTTTGTGACTCCCCACCCCAAATTCACATGTTGAAACCAAATTCCCAGGGTGATGGTTTCTGGAGGTAGGGACCTTGGGAAGTGATAGGTCATGAGGGTGGGTCTCCATGAATGAGATTCGTGCCCTTGTAGAAGAGGCCCCAGAGATCTCCCTAACCCCTCCTGCCCTGTGAGAACATGAACCAGATAGTGGGACCAGAACCTGACTGTGCTGGTGCCGTGATCTTGGACTTCCCGGCTTCTAGAACTGTAAGGAATAAATCTGTTTCTATAAGCCAGTCAGTCTATGGTATTTATGTTAAAGCAGCCTGAATACACTACAGCACCCTTCAATGGCTCTCACTGATCTCCAAATAAAACCCACTCTCTGTTGTCCTTAGCCTGGCAAACATGACACTTGATACATGGTCTGCCCTTCCAGGCATATCTCCTGTCCCTGCATGCTTGTACTCGATGCTTTCATACTCCAAAAGATTTGCAGGTAAAATCTCAATGCACACAGGTGTGTGCACACACGCACACACACATGCATGCATATATACACACTCCCGATCCATCTTCCATGCCCTCACTTTTGCTTTTTTCTCTCCTGGGAGTGCTCTTCCCACTAGATTGCCCCTGGTTAAGTCTAACTCAGCTGTCAAGACACTATTCAGCATTACCAGCTCCAGGAAGCCCTCCCGACTGGCAGAGTGTCCTTCTTCTATATCCTTACCTATCTCTAGCTTGGTACTTACCACCTCATGGGCGCTTCTTGAGGAAAGAGTCCAGGCTTTGGACAGCTCTGTGTTCTCAGCACCCAACCGAGAATCAAGCCCAGGGCAGGTGCTTGTCATGGTTTATGAACAAAAGTAAACACACTCAGTCCCCCAGATGCCCTGGTTCTTCCCTAACCAGCCCCGTGGCACCTCACCTGAGCCTCTTTCTGGAGGATTTCTGCTTAGGAAGCCAGTTCCTCGGGCCCGTGTGTTACCTGGCTGTGTCAGCTACCAACTTCCTGGCCCTTCATGCCATTTGGCAAGACCTGTATCTTGGAGTCGCTCAGGTGGGCACTGCCCGCTGGGGGCTGAGGTGCCCCCAACACCCGGCCTAGCACCCTATCCAGTGGGAGAGGGAGAATTTCAGGCCTCAAGCTCATTTTCTGTAGCTGGGCGCTGTGGCTGTCAGCATCAATGAATTTCCTGGGCTGTTTCTGGATAGGACATCAGCACTGGATGCCTGAATCTCCTCTTCCAGCCTCTGGGGTTATTACAGTGGGCTCTACCATCCCCAAACATGGGCTTGTCCTTTTTCAAAAACAGAACCTGCTAATCCCCTGATTCCAAAGGAACAGTCTCCTCTGTTATGCCTTCCCTGAAAGAAGCACAATTTCGGGGCAGGAGGATTCTCCCACCACTCTCCTGGCTGTTCTGTTATGGCTCATGTTTTTGTGTCTTCCTTTTTGTTGCCGAGCCACAGCCTTCCTGGGTAACCCCAAAGCAGCAAGGCATGCCTGCCCTCTCGTGGACAGATTGGGAAATATAGGCAGAAGGCTGGGAGCCCAGGTGAAGAGATGTTTCTAGGCAGGATCTCAAAGTCATAAATGAACCCTCAGTTATGAGAACCATTATAAGGACAGTGCTGGAGGCTGCTGAAGTCCCCACAGACAGTCCTGGCCTCGGGTACATGTGAAGCAGAGCTAGAAGGCATTATGAATGACAAGGCAGAGAGAGAGAGAGAGAGAGAGAGAGAGAGAGAGAGAGAGAGACAGAGACAGAGAGAGAGAGAGAGAGAGAGAGAGAGAGAGAGAGAGAGAGAGAGAGAGAGAGAGAGAGAAGGAGGGGAGAGGATGTACCCATGCGAGAAGAACCCAACAGCATTAAATACAACTGAGATTTGGGAAATGTTAGGGGTTTGGTCCTGCCTCTGGTCCCCAAATCCATTCACCCCTCCCTCATCTCGGCTTATCAGTCAAGACTGGCAGTGATCCAGGCCTTTATTTAAGCTACTCTGGGGCCCTGTTCTCTGTGGAGTCCCCAAGGAAACTCGAGCACTCCATCCTCCCAGCCCAGCCCAGCCCAGCTCAGCCCAGGCCTCACCTTGAGGGAGATGAGTCGCAGCCGGTAATCCTCTGTGTGAATGACCTTCCGCACAGTGATCTCCACACCGTCGTACACCACCTGCTCCTCCGGCCAGTACTCAGTGCACTTCTGCAGGGACCCAGATCAGGCTGCGATACAACCCCAATTGCTTCCCACGTGCTCCCCGACACCCCTCCAGGGCCAGCAGAGAAACACAAGGGCAGCAGGTTTGTTGTTAGAGTGTTGGGCTCAAATCTCAGCTTCAGAACCTACACGCTACTTCCCTTTTCTGAGCCTTGGCTTCCTCATCTGGAAAATGGAAGTCCTACCCATTTTGAAGTACTTTTATAGGGAGTTCATTAAATGGGCTGTCGTGGGTATCAAAGTAGCCAGCAGCAGTTCTGGCAGGCTGGGAGGCGAAAGTGCATGGTGTTGAAGATCACAGGCGCTGGGGGTGAAGAGACCATTCCAGGCTCTGTCTATGACTGTCTGTCTCTGCCCGTGACTGTCTGAGCAAATGACTTAACCCCACTGAGCTTCTCATTTCCTCATCTTGGCAGTAGAGTGGCCATTGCCAACCTCACAGGATTGTCGAAAGGATTAATATGAAAATGAGACACTTGGCGCAAGGCACAAAGCAGGAGGTGCTTGGTGGTGGTGCAGGGTCCCTACCTCGTTCATCTCCTCGATGTTGGTGATCATGACAATGATGGGTGTGTGTTCCTGCCACACCATGCGCCAGAAGTCGGCCACCGTGCTAACAATGGGTCCCTGAGTGGCGATGTACACCTTCTCCTCTCCACCGTAGCCCTGTGGCCAGCCAAGTCCGGGCTGTGAGGGTCAGAGGCCACGCTCCCAGGGCCCAGTTCCCACACACAGGCTCTTCCCCAGGGCTGGCAGGAGCCAGACTGGCTTAGGGATAAGGCTGGAGGATGGAGCTCATCGACTCAGGCCTCGCCTTCAGCGAGAGGCCGTCAGAATGGGCATACGTACCCGGATGTAGTTGGCATTGATGTAGGAATTCAGAGGATCATCGGGGTCTGGTGAGGTCAGACACACTCTGCTGTGAGGGTCTGGGGTAGGGGGAGACAGGTAAGGCCGGAAGCTGGGCCCTCTGGTGCAGGGCCCACCTTTTCCGGCCCACTCCAGGGCACCCACATTTCTTTCATTCCTTTTTTTTTTTGTTTTTTTTTTGAGAAAGCAGAATTTATTGAGAGGACAGGAAAGCTCTCAGAGTGGGGGGGGACCCAAGGGGGTTTCCTGGGTACCCACATTTCTTCTGGGACCTTAGCAATTCTTCCTTTCCTTACCAGTAGCAAAACACTGACCCATCTGAGGTCCATTCAGACAGGTGAGGACCCAGGCTGAAGAGAGGAGCAGAGATAGAGAGAGGCTATGGGTCTCTGCCTCTGTAGGACCAATACCTGCCCTTTGCCTGGGCCCCTTAAGCTACCCTATACTTGTTGTATCTAATGTTTTAGAGAGGAGAAAGCTAAGCCAAGAAAGGAGTTACCTAGGGCACAGAGCCTGGACAGCAGGAGGCAGCAGGAGTTTGAGTACACACTGACACTGACTTGCTGTGTAAACTTGTAAAAGCCACAGTCTTTCTAAGTCTCAGTTTTCCTATCTATAAAATGGGGCAAAGATGCCTAATTTCTTAGGCAATTGGGAAGATAAATGATAAAATGGATGTGAAAGTGAGGTATAAACTGTAAAGTGCTTTATAAATCTATAGGGCTGTTAATATTTAGGGATAGAAAGCTGAGGGAAATTACTGGGATAAAAAGGATAAGGCCTCCCATGTCTGGAATGAGACTGTAGGGTCTCAGCTACATGGATATGTATGCAAAAGTTGTATTTTTTTTCAATCTATTCACATGTCAAATCCCGTAGCCACAGATTCTCCTAATATACTGCTTCTCTTCTTGGAGGGAATTTTGCTTTGTTCCTGCAAGAGCCTTTCACATTGACTGTTCCATCAGCCTGCAGGGGTAGGACTGAGCCAGGGAGGCTGTGTGGGAGTATCAGGGAGGCTGCTGGGGGCCTGGAGTACTGGGCCCTGGTCTAGATTTGTCACCAGCCCACTGGTTTATCCCTTCTCTAGGACTCTGTTTCTCTCCTGTCACAGGGAGGCATTTTCAGTGTGCACATCATAGGGCTCTCAAAGGCTGTCCTAGGGAGTCATTAAGAGTCTACACTGCTGAGCCAAAGAGGCTGGGTTCAAATCCTGACTCCAAGACTTACTGGAAGTGCCAGTATGGGCACTCCTCTTCTTCTCCCTGTGCCTCATCTCTAAACTGGAAACTCTCCTTCCACAATGATCTCACTTATCTTGTAAAGGTTAAAACAGCTCATGAACATTAATGAGGGGAGCACCTCAAGCAGTAACGTAGACTAGCATATGGGAAACACTGGGTAGCAGTTAGTGCTGTGATGACTGCTGTTATTACAAGTTTCATCATCATTTAACAGACAAAAGGAAGAGTCCCAAATCTGGCAGGACAAACAGGGAAGGTGATGTGTATAAGTCTCCCTCTCCAGCCCGTTTCTTGCCCCAGCCCCACTGCCTGGGGTTTTTGGCGGTGACATGGGGGCAGTTCTTGCAAAGAGGGGTATGGAGGTTGGCAGGGGTAGAGGAGGAGCAAGGGTAAGAGGGAAGGAGGGCTCTGGGGGACCAACAGCAGAGAGGAACAAGACGCTTTGCATGGCCAGAGCCCTTCTCCTTGTTTGCTGGGAATCTATCCCATTAGGTTCAACCCACAGGCCAAGGTGGGACTGGAGACAGGAGATACTGGAGAGGAACCAGGTAACAAAGAGTCTTATGAGTCATACTTAGAAAGCCAAACCTAACCCTGAGTATGACAAGGCTGACGCTGATAGTGTTTAAGGATGAGAATGACATAATTCGATATCTGTTTGGCATCATGTTGGTGGTGATGGTAGAAGATGGGCAGGAGAGGGGAATATGGAAATCAGGGAGTTAAGGGATTCCCGCAATGATCCACATAAGAAGGACCAGAGTTCACAGGCTGCCCTGCTGGCACGACTTCAGGGGCATCCATATCAGTGTTGTCTATATAAATGGTGCCCTCTGGAACTGGGCAACCTGAAAGCCCCCAGAAAGCCATGTGGCCGTGAGATTACATTCTCATGGCTATGGTGTCTACCCTGTGCCAGGCACTGTTTTGGTGAGTGGGACATGTGGTGAAAAGGACAGGAATTTCTCCCCTACATCTTCTTCTCAATGCTGAATATTGGGCTGCTGGTCCCTCTGGTGTCACTGTCCGTGGACCCATCTCTCCCACTAGATTAGGAGTTCCTTGTGTGGAGTCTGTGTCTTGCTCATGTCCCTGGGGCAGAAGCGGAGGACATGTGTCCCTAGTGCATGAGAAAACAAAGTTCAGGGCAGCCTGCATCTGAGAGGCAGCCTCTGCCAGACCTGCCCTGCCCTCTGCCCCCCCCAAGCCTGAATCTGAGGGCAAAGGGTTAAGTCTTGCTGGACATGGACAAGATTCTCTGCTGGGCTTGGGGGCCTAGAGGCTCAGCTGCGGCTTAAACCCCTCAGCAACCCCGGGGGGATGGCATAGAATCCTGGCCTGCTCCCACTTTCCTCCCGTGGCCAGTCTGGGCGGTCAGCAGAGCCCTGGCTTCTGGGGTACTTGCGCCCCTCCCTTCAGGTAGGGCTGGGAGGAGGAGGGCAGATGGGGGAAGAGGTGAGCAGCCCTGAATAATGCATCCTGGCCTTAAATGGCGCTTTGTTTAACCGGAACTACCTAGAGACTGCGTCACCATAGCAACTACAAGTCGATATTTTAAAAGTTAAAAATAAGTCATGACATCTTACATGTTGTTAGAGATGCTGATGGCAAAACTCCCTTTTTAAAGGCTTGCTGCTCCACAAACTGAGTGGAGTAGGTTTGTAGGGACTCACTTTCAACAAGTCACCCTCAAGCTAGCCCCGGGGCCTGGGACTGGTACTTGGCAGGGGTGGCAGACACACAGGGGCTTGAGAAAAGTTACCGGAACACAACACCCTAAGGCTGAAAGAGGAACATCAGGTCACCTGGTCTAAATGCCCCCCAAGGGCGAAAAACCCTCTCAGACCTTCAGGGGATGGCTCATGCAGCCTCACTGGAACACACTGAGGAATGGTGGGGAGCCCTACCTGTCAGAGGCAGTTCATTTGTCCGTGGGGGTGGATGTCTTTTTTAGAGTACCTTGTGGGAATGGATTTCCCTTTTAGAGGACTTACAATCTGACCAAACTCAACACAACGTAAATAAGGAGCCCGATTCTGGGGTAACAGAGGCCCAGGTGTGAAATTCTGCTCTGCACTTCCTAGCTGTGGAAGAGGCACTTAACCTCTCTGAGACTTAATTTCGTTTCCTTAAAAATCTGCCCACTCTGGAGAGATAAAGGACGTCACCACAATACTGGCCTGGAGTTGCTGACATCACCGCCCTTTCTGTTGGGATTTCTACAGAGGCCAGCCCAACACTTGACCAGGCAGGGCCAAGGTCCAGAGTGCCGTGTGTGGGAATACGTCAGCCTCTGCCCTCAGCAGGGTGGCATCTCTGTCCCTTCTCCCCTGGTGGTGAGTGTCCTGTCACCCCTAGAGGCCCAGCTCTGGGCTTAAAGTCCTCCTCAGGATGAGGGCCAACAGGAGAAGGTGGGTCTGCCCCCTGCCTCCGGCAGTGAGTACTCACTGGGAAGTATGGTTTTGTACCGATTCTTCCGTACCAGCCCAGGGATGTCATACTCTTTTGGGTCCACAAAGTTCATGGGGATTTCCTGCAGAAAGAGGACATGAGGGTGTGAGCGACTGTGGGATGGCCCTCACAGATGTTTCAATCTAGGGGCTGCTGTGCCCCTAACTTCCACTCCAGGGGCTGGCTTGAGTGCATGCATTCATTCAACAAACATGTACTGTGAAATGAGTTAGTGCACAGAAAGCCCTTAGAACCGTGCCTGGTACACACTGAGTGCATAATAGATGTGAAGATGATAATGGTTTACTGAGGGCCAGCCTGGCATACAGGAGAATCGGTACAGGAGACACTCCATAAATGGTTGATGAATGGAGAAGAGTGAGATAAAAAGTGACCTGGCCCACTGCCATCTTCCTCCACACTCTCTGTGCAGCGTTCCTTCCTGGGTGTTCCCACCTTGGGACCTGGGTTTGTGCGGCTCACTCTCATAACACCCATCCCCTCCTCATCTCCTCATATTCCGCCTAGGCCACCTCCTCTGAGAAGCCCTCCCTGATTTCCCTGAAGGAAAGAAGTCCCCTCCTGAGCTCGCAGGGGGATTTGAGTCTCCCAATTGCTCTCTGTGTTGAGAAGTTTTGAGTCTGAGCTTCTCTCCTGATGTAGGAAGGTTTCTCAGACCTACTCTCTCTCTCTCTCTCTCTCTCTCTATCTTTCTCTTTTGAGTAGGAGTCTTACTCTGTAGCCCAGGCTGGAGTGCAGTGGCACACTTGCGGTCACTGCAGCCTCGCCTGCTGGGCTCAGGTGATCCTTCCACCTCAGCCTTCCAAGTAGCTGGAACTAAGGGCGTGCACCACCACCCCCAGCTAATTTTTTCATTTATTGTAGAGATGAGGTCTTGCCAAGCTGCCCAGGCTGGTCTTGAACCCCTGGATTCAGGCAATCCTCTCACCTCAGCTTCCCAAAGTGCTGAGATTACAGGCTTGAGCCACCATGCCCAGCTTAGACCTGGTCTCTTGACTTCTAGGTCTGTCTCTACCCTTGTTTACCTGAGGTTCTCAGTCCTGCTTCCAGACCTGAGCTTATGGTTTTGGCTTGCTGGGAGCACTGGTCGCCCCTCCATCTCTCCAGGTTGTCCTCTGACTCCATTTCCTCCCTGGGTCCTTTGTGATGACTCTCCTCTGCCTCTTGCCTCTGCTCTCTCTTCCAATCTGACCCCCAGTTTAGCACTTGGCTGCATCCAGTTTCATATTGGTCCTTGTTCTTGGGCACACTAAGGATGGACTTTGTAAAATGAAGATCATGATACCTTCTAGGGTTGTTGTGAGAATTAAAATAAAAGGCAACGTGTGCAAAACTGCCCAGAGGGGCGGTTCGGGCCATGCTCCTTCCTTTCCTGTGAAACCAACAACAATTCACTGAACTGGAGCAAGTAGAGGATGTAAGTTATCCCTTCAAGGTGGAAACTCAGAGCGAGAGTGGAGGTTGGGGTGCCGAGGAAGCTTTCTAGAGGTATGTGGAATTGGGTGGTGCGCGTGGAGGTATGGCGGGGATCGAGGCATGCAGCAGGGCTGGCCAGTTTGAAGTGAATAGTCCTGGCCGGGTATAGTGGCTCATGCCTGTAATCCCAGCACTCTGGGAGGTTGAGATGAGAGGACTGCTTGAGCCCAGGAGTTAGAGACCAGTCTGGGCAACATGGTGAGACCCTACGAAAAACACAAAAATTAGCCAGGTGTGGTGGTGGGAGCCTGTAGTCTCAGCTGCATGGGAGGCTAAGGTGGAAAGATTGCCTGAGCCCCAGAGTTTGAGGCTGCAGTGAGCCATGATTATGCCACTGCATTCCAGTCTGGGTGACAGAGTGAGACGCTGACTCAAAAAAATAAGTAAATAAAAAGAAGTGAACAGTCCTGCAGGGGTGGGGTGGGGAAGGGTGGCTGGGGCCACACTAGCTCAGGGGGTCGGGGCTACTCTCTTGCGGGCTGTGCCAAACTCTGGAGAATTTGGAGCAGCCAGTCAGAGGGTGACAGAGGTCTTCTCAGAGGGGACAGCTATCTGGTCCATACAGACAGCAGACAGCCCCGGGGCAAGGGTCAAAGAAAGGGAGAGGTGAGGAGGCTCACAGTGTCCTCTCCCCTCTGGCTTCTACCAGGAGGATCTTTTCCCTCTCAACCACTCCAGCCCACAAAAGTGGGTGAGTCACCTGTTTAGTGAGTTTGGTCAAGGATCTGGGCTTTGCAGCCTCAGCCCCTTCTTTCCTCCTCCTCTTGGGGTCCTCCTGCCAAGAAAGAATGGTAGCGGTGCCCCCATGGGGCAAGGCCCGAGACATGCTGACACCGGTAGATGGTGCAAGGGAAGGTCATATAATTCTGGGGTGCAGTATCAGGAAGCTTACTCTTGCTACCCACTGCCAAGCCTCATTTCAAACCCATCTTTCACTGACGATAAAGGTGGTGCTGTGAATGTCCCTACCTTGACTCTTCACAGGTTGAGCACTCAGGCAGATATGCAGGGGTGCCACTTACTGAGCCCCTCAAAGACCCACAGGAGGCCGCTGTTGCAGAGACTGAGCAATCAGGGCCTAAGCTAGAGGCTCAGGGGTGGCCAGGAGGGCAGGTGACTGGAGAGATTTCAAAGGCAGACGAACAAGGCAGGAGGAGGGTGGGAAACAGGAGGGTCAGAAGGGAAGGCTTTCCACGGTGGTAAAGACTTAGGAATGTCACTGAACTCCAATCCCTGCTGGGAGCTTTGCACACGTTCTATCTGTCTCTCTAATCCTTGCAACAACCCGATCATTTCCATCCCCATTTTTCAGATGGGGAAACTGAGGCTCACAGGGGAAGCTGCTTGCTCAAGACGGCGGGAGAGCTGATAATGAAGTGATGCTAGGCTGCTCCAGATGCCGAGATGGGTATCTGGTGATCCCTGCCTGGCGAGGTGGAGCTGGATGTGAGCATAGTGGTCTGCCCACCGGAGGCCGGCGCAGGGACTCACAAAGAATTCTGCCTGCAGCAGGAAAGGGTCCAGGGCCTTTTCGTGAAGCTCCTCGGCTTGGAGGATGCGGGAGGCGCTGAGCAGGTACTCGCGGGCCGACTCCTCACGTGGGGACATGAGATAGCCAAAGCCCTCCTCGTTGCAGCCCGGAGTGCACATGTCCAAGGTCAGGGAGACGTTGGAGCCCCTCCTGGAAGGACCAGGGAATGGGGAGTGAGTCTCAGGGGCAGGGGAAGGGCACTGGCTGGGGCCTTGGGGGTGGGGAGATGAGGAAGGGAGAGATCAGGTGGGAACACGGGGGCCTTGAGGAAGAGGAGTGGGGGTGTGACAAGACCCCTGCCAATAGAGCATGCAGCTCAGCCCAAGGTGTAGACCTGACTTCCTGTCTCCTGCCTCATGCAGTGGAGCAGCCAACTGAGTGGGGGTTTGGGCCCCAGTTCCAAAACTTCCATCCAAAGCCACCCCAACATGGCCCTCTTCTGTGCTGTCCTCCGTAACTGCTGGAGACAGTTCCACCCTGTGGTTCCCGGGTAGATGGGGCTCATAGAGAGAGGACACCCGCCTAGAGCAGGGAGGCGGGGCTCCAGCCCGGGAGGATGTCTCCAGACCTCCACACCACAGCCCTGTGCCCAGCAATCCTGGAACAAGGCTTCTAGGAAGTCAAGGACATCTTATCCCGGACAGGCCAGGACCCTCAGCTGTCAGGGAAGGATGGATCCTAGGAGCAGTACAGTGGCAGCACGGATGCTTACATGGGACAAACTCTACTGTGCTCAGTGTCTAACACCGCAGAACAGGAAGGGCCCTCATTATACAGAAAGGGAAACTGAGTCCCCACAAAAGGACAAGAATTGCTCAGGCTCTTCCAGGAAGGATGTGGCAGAGTTGAAACAAAAAGCTGTTGTTTTTCTGACTCTTCACCCCATTCTTTTCATGATATCATCCGGGTAACTCAAACCTGGTGTGATCTGGCTTGTCCAACTAAACTCTGAAAGAGGGTGTCTCCACTTCCCAAAGTGTGGAACACTCTGAGACACCCTAGGGTCCTGTGGGCAAGTCACTTTGGGATATGACAAAAACTGCTCCTGTGATTTCCATCCCCGTTTCCCTTGCTGGTTTACAACAAACACAAGCATGCTGAAGGCCCTGATAAGACAAGAAGTAATGAAAATTACTCCAAAATGACTTGAGCACACGAGTGTGTGTGTTCACACCTGCATATGCCTGCGCGTGTGTGTGTGTGTGCATGCGCGCGCGAGTGCGTGTATGCACAGTAGCAGTATTTCTCAGCATTCATCTCTGGGCACTTTGATCTACACGCATGACCTGAAGAGCCAGTGTCTATATACAGTGTCTAAGCTGTCAGACCAGGGCACTGGGAATGAGTCAGGCATCCACCCTTCTGACCAGGAGCTAAGTGCCCGTAGAGCCCACCCCTCTTCCACCCCTCCCACCTCTCCTGCAGACCCATGGACTTGACGGTGAGCGAGGTGGGGTCGGCCTCAGGCTTGATGTCCATCACGCAGTCAAACACAGGGGTCTCGGGCACTGGGTCCAGGTCCAGGAAGTCATCCTCAACCTTTTCCTCCATCCACTCCGAGTAGGTGAAGGAGGGCTGGCGGCTCACTGACTGGCGCCTGTCCTCGGGGGGTAGTGGGGTGGTTGGCTCTGGGGGGGTCTTCAGGAGGTGCCACACCTGGTTGGGGCATGCGGCATCATGGACCCGGGACCATGCCTGCTGCCCCCGGATTCCTGGTGTCCCCTCCCGGGGTTGAGCTTTACCCCTCAATGTGCCTAGATACATGGCGCTGCCCCTGGCCTAAGTGGAAAGTTCAAACCCCCCTCTCTCTTCCTGTTCCTCCCTCCTCCCACCCACCGTTTCCTGAGGATTCAGGCTTTATTGGTGGGGCCTGGGGGTTCCTACACCATTCTCCCTACCTCAGTCCCTTTTCCCAGCCCAGATAACTGAAAATCAATTTTCAGAAAGAAGGAGCCTCTCCCCTGCAGGCTGGGCACACTGGTGGAAGGAGACAGGTACCCATTCTCACCCCACCCAGAATGTCTAGCCTGCAGGTCAGATGGGAGCAGGTAGGGATCCGGGCCTCGGGGTCAGAGGATCACGTCGGAGTCAGAAGGTGCCTTACCAGAGTGGTAACGAGGACCAGGCCTACGGACAAGCAGACCAGCAGCAGGCTGGGGACGCCCCAGGTCCCAGAGCCCAGCCAGGCCTGGGGAACATCAGACAAAGGGTCAAGGGAGTGGCAGGGGCAGAGTTCTCAGCTATTTCAATGGTGACAAAACCGAGGCTCTGAAAACTGCATTGCAGGTTTGGAGTGGGAGCTGGCAGAAGAACATCAGGGGCTTGGAAATGTCTTCTGAGCTCGAGAAGCCCTGTCCAGGGGTCAGCGAGGGTGGGACTGGAGGCCCCCAACGGATCCCTCCTACCCCGGGACTCCCCAACGCTTACTCACCGTGGGTCCCAGCTGTTTCAGGAGCGTGAGCAAAGAGGAGATGAGGTCTGTGGCGTTCTGTGACCAGATGTGGCCGTAGCCGCTGATCCAGAGCACCCCACAGGCAAGCTGGGCACAGGAGGAGCAGACTGAGGGCAGAGCCCAGTTCCTTGCCCCTATATTCCCCCTGCAGAGCTCACCTGCAGCCTCAGTCTGGCCTCCCATGGAGGCTCCTGAACCTCTAAGGTCCAGTCTGGGCAGCTGAGGGCAGGGCCCACATGTCGTGTGACCAGGGGAGGCCCCAGGACTATCCCTGGGGAAAAGCTGGTTGAAGGAAACCAAGAGAAAGCTCTTCCCATAGGAGACCCTGCAAGTATGCACATAAAAAGGGAAGTCTCCCAGAAAGGACAGAAGTCTTCAGAAAGAACCCTGCAGGACTGAGAGGTCAGGGGTCAGGGGCCAGAAGGGCCCTGCGTTCCCCATTCTCAGGTTAGGGAGGGCAGGGCTTGAGGGCTTGGCTACTGAGGCTGCAGCTCAGATTTGCAGCCTTCCCCTCGCACCAGCGTTGAGGGTTCAGAGTCCCTGAAGGTTACCAGGAAGGCCCCTCATCCCTCTGCATCCCAGGAGGCCATCTTGGGAAGGGACTGGAAGGCCATCCCTCCACCCGCCCTCTCTCCAGGCCCTCGTGAGGCCTGTGCCATCCTTACCAGGAACTGGGAGACAGCAAACAGGCACAGGCTGCTCCTGACAGTGAGGGAGTGGCTCCCGGCACCCTGAGGTGGTGGCTTCTGCGCTGGCTCTGAGGGCGGCAAGGGAGGAGGGGGCGGTGGCATCTCTCTCAGCGGGTCCGGGAGCCCTTCGGCCTCGTCCAGTGCCTCCAGCACTACCGGCTGGGGAAGACCTGCGGAAGGAGGGACACGAGGGCCGATGACTCGGGCCCTGTCCACACGCGGGGCTCTGCTGACCCACGGCGGGCCGCTGCTTTTGTGGCTGCCTCTCAATCCGGGATCAGTCAGCGTGGCTCCACTTCCAGCAGTCACCCTCGATTAGCAAAGCAATATTCACCTACCTTCGTCAGAAAGAGCTAAGTGTGGGTGGACAAATTATTTCTCTTTTATTTCTCCAGTAACAGAGTTAAAATGGCAGGAGGTTTTTCAGGGAGTTAATATCGTTGTATTTACGCAGCCTCATTCTTTTCCATTTCTTAAGGAAACAAAAAACAACCACCTCAAACTCAATTAAAAAGGAAAAAAAAAAGGGCATAACCAGGCCGTGACCCTGAACAACCCACCCACGCCTGACCTTCAGATTTTTGTCTCTTGTGGCCTGTGCCCCAACTGATCACAGCCACACGCCTCTCTCCCACCTGGAGCCACCGCCCCCCCACATACACACAGTGAGGTTGGGGGGTGGTAATCGGGCAATATGGAGGAAAATCTTGATGTAGCAGAACTGCTATCAGATGTCTGGGATCTGGTTCTGGTCTGTTCCTAGTTGGTGTGATCTCGGGAGAATCACTCTCTCTCTAGGTCTCAGTTTCCCCACCTAGAAAATGGGGATGGCCTAAACCCTTGGTTTTCTAACCGTGCTTTACAAAACCCTAGTGTTTTCTCAGGTGCACAAGGGACTGTTATCAAGTGTTCCGAGTCTCCATGTCTGTTCCTTAAGTGCAGATATACTGGATTTCTGCTGAGATTATTTCAATGCAGGGTTCCACTACTAAAGAGTCTGAATGCCACTGGCTCAGATCTGAGCCCCTGGCTATAGTATGGGGATTCCAGCTGCAGCCATCTCAGTGAGTCCCAGGTTTTGGCAATCTCCACCCAAACTCACATGGTTCAGTTTATTGCTAAGAAGAGAAGGACTGACAAAACGGATGTGTGCAGCTTGAGTGCTGGGTGTGGCTGTCCCTTCCTTTCTGGCAGGCGACAACAGAACCACATGAGGCCAACACAGTTGTTTTTTCATGTGCTTGTTCACTCACTTGACAAACATATACTGAGCATCCCCCGTGGCCTAGATCAACAGTGTGGAGCCATGAGCCCAGGTCCAGGAGATGCCATATTTGTGCCACAGGCACCCCCTTCTTGGCTGCTGGCCCTGTGTGGCTCCCCGCCTGCCATCTTTCGGCCGCCCTCCTTGCAGTCCCTCTGGTGAGCCCGCCCCCTTTGCATTGACGTGCCGTCCCTTCTGGACCATCCCTCTAACACCCTGCTTGCCTCATGCACACTTTGCCAAGATAACTCCTCTTCGTCTGGTAGATCTCAATCAGATGCCAGCTGAAGTAGGTCCTGCCCTGTTGCATCGGAGTACCCCATGCCTCTCCTTCCTACCATCACCAGCAGTAGCACCCCGGGACATGCTTGGCTCTGCTCTGAGTGCTTTACATATGTTAACTTGGTTACCCCTCACAGTACCCCTGTGAGGTTGGACCTATTATCCCCATTTTACAGAAGAGGAAATGAGGTGCAGGGGGGTTAAGAGAGCTGTCCAAGGTCCCTCAGTTGGCGGATGGTGGTGGCGGGTTCAATCCGAGGCAGTCAGAGGGGTTCTGGGCTGTGTTAATGCTTGCAGTGGTCTGTAAAATAATTTTTGAGCATCCTCTCCCCTGTTCACCTGGAAGTTCCTTGAGGGCAGGGGTGGCATCAGTTCTGTTTATCCTGATTGTCTATATCATCTAGCACAAGTTCTGGCATGTAAGTCTGCAAAAAATATTTACCAAGTGAGTGAATGATGTTGGGCCAGTGAGGATCAGTTACTCAGTTTTCTTGCTTGATGGATAAGGATAATAATACATCCACTGAAAAGCTGTGATAAAGGCTTTATTTTGAGTCAGGGTCTCACTCCATTGTCCAGGCTGGAGTGCAGTGATGCGATCACGGGTCACTGCAGCCTTGACCTCCTAAGCTCAGGTGATCCTTCTATCTCAGCCTTCTGAGTAGCTGGGACTACAGGTGTGTACCACCAAGCCTAGCTAACTTTTTCTTTTATTTTTTGTAAAGACAAGGTCTTACTATGTTGCCCAGGCTAGTCTTGAACTCCCAGGCTCAAGTAATCCTCCTGCCTCAGCCTCCCAAAATGCTGGGATTATAGGCATGAGGCACTGTGCCTGGCCTATTTTTTTATTTTTGTAGAGACAAGGTCTCACTATGTTGCTTAGGTTGGTCTCAAACTTCCGGGCTTAGCAATCTTCCTGCCTCACCCTCCCAGAATGCTGTGTGTGAGCCACTGTGCCTGGTCCCCAATGTTCTAATTTAATTGGCCTGGGGTGGAGAGCAAGCATCAGCAGTTTTTAAAGACCCCAAGGGCTTCTAATGTGTAGCCAAGATTGAGACTCACCGACTTAAACCTTCCCACCTGTGTGACCCCCAGTACCACAGTTCTCAATCTACTCTCTTGACAATGAGATGTGGAGATCAGTTGGGTGAGATGTAGCAGGTAATTAATTAGCAACATAATTAAAATGCTGAAATTGTCAAGGGTTTTCCTTAGGGGGGGAAAATGGAGTGGTTTCAGGGTTACCCTAAAGGAACAGCCATAAAGACTTTAGAGACTACAGATGAAACACCCAGCATGATGCTGGGCATTCAGCAGTATACAATACATGGCAGATTATAATAATGATTGCACATCATTCTTGCCTTCAAAAGGCTCCCAGGCTGGGCACAGTGGCTCAAGCCTGTAATCCCAGCACTTTGGGGGGCTGAGGTGAGAGGATTGCCTGAGCCCATGGGTTCATCTCTACAATTGAAAAATTAGCCGGGTTTGGTAGCACATGCCTGTAGTTCCAGCTACTTGGAAGGCTGAGGTGGAAGGATCGATCGCCAGAGCCCAGCAGGGCGACACTGGGGTGGCCGTGAGCATGCCACTGCACTCCAGCCTGGGTGACAGAGTGAGACTCCAACTCAAAAAAAAAAAAAGCCTCCCAGTCTTCTGAGTAAAGCAGACTAGGAAATACATGTTTACAATACAATGCACTAAATGCGAGTGGAGCCCAAGAGGGCGGGGGAGGGCATTTACCTCTGCCCAGGGAGGTTATGGTCACCGATTACCTGGTATCCCTCAGCACAGACCCTGGGAGCTCCATGAAACAGGAAAGCTACTGTAAAAGATGGACCGTATGGGAAGCCAAGAGTTTCTACTATCAAAAAGCATAGGGGTGATTTCTCAAGACACCAGGCCTTCGCTCACACAGAGTCAACAGGTGAAGCCAGGTATGGAAAAGTAGGAAGGGTAGAGGCCTGGGGTCAGCTGGCTTCTGTACCTTGGTGCTACATAGCGCATGTGGTGGCCCTTGATCAAGCCCTTTTCCTCCCTGGGTCTCAGTTTCCTTATCTGTAAAAAGAGCATCTTGAATTCAGCAAATAACAGTGAGCTCACATGACCTTGGACTTTGCTGCTTTAAGATACATAGGTGTTCTGCGTTCTATACTGTGATGTATCTATACTCGTTTTGATATTAAAATCATGCTTTTTTTCCCCTCTCCTAAAGCTTTGAATCAAATTTATGCTTCAGGAAATTGTGCGACATATATCCTGTGGCTTTGCCCTCAGGAGTACATGCACCCCAGTCTGAGAAGCATGGAACTTGCCTGCAATAAAACATCATGCAGCTGATATAAATGATTCTATGGATGAATATTTAATAACATGGAAAAAATTTTGATGGTATGGAGTGAGAAAGGCAAAGTTACAAAGCAGTATGATCTCATTGGCCTTAGACATTAAGAAAGTATAAATATGTCTATAAAAAGATGGAGAATGCCTGATTTAAGATTAGAGGTTAACATGAACAGTGCTTGTAGAGCATGGGACCCAGTGAATGCCTGGCACACAGCAAGTGCTTATTAAGTGTTACATGCAGTAAATGGGAAGAATATAAGCCAAGTACTAACAATAGTTCTCTGGTCGGGCTAGGTGGCTCAGTCTGTAATCCCAGCACTTTGGGAGGCTGAGGCGAGTGGATTGCCTGAGCCTGCAGGTTCGAGACCAGCCCGGGCAACTTGGCAAGACCTCATCTCTACAATAAATATAAAATTATCCAGGCATGGTAGTGTGTGCCTGTAGTTCCGGCTACTTGGAAGGCTGAGGCGGAAGGATCACCAGAGCCCAGCAGGTCTACACTGGGATGACTGTGAGTGTGCCATTGCACTCCAGCCTGGACGAGAGAGTGAGACTCTAACTAAAACAAAACAAAACAAAAAAACTAAACAACCCCCCCCCCCAACCAGTTCGTTGAGGTAAGGCGACTTCATTTAAGTATCCTCCGTTTCCTTTGATAAGTAAACAAATATACATATATTTGTAGTGAGACTACTTTTTACAAAAGATCAAAGTTCTGAGTTGAGCTATCAGGAAACCTAGTTAGTATTCCCAGGTTTCAGGCTCTACGCCCACCTGTCACATCTAGATGCTTACACTGGGATATGAGATTGACAGTGTGTGCACGGTTCTGAGGGACCCACCTAGCAGCAGAACAGCCACTCAGAAGGCAGGTCCCTCAGATACTGTGTGATCATCACTTTAGCAAATGAAAAATAGCAGGTGAACTGCTTTGCACATTATGGGGGTGGAAGAAAAACTGCAGGCTGGTGGAGCTCTGGGTGCATATCTCAGATGAAGAGGAAGGTTTTCTCATTTATTTTTTTTTAACCACTAGGCACCTGGCAACCCTGGAGGCCAGATGCATCTAACGGATGGGTATTTACTGGGCACCTGGTAGATGTGCTTCTTTCAGAGCAAGGTTTAGTTAGAAGTGTTTCTGGGTAGAAATTTGACATCTTTTTACCCAGGAAGATATACTTCAAACATCCACTATATTCTGTATATAATTTTGGGGAGATCTATGGCTCTCAGGCTAAGAGCCCCTGATCTCAGGGGTGGGCAGTGGGCATCTGTGAT